TGGCAGCCGTTGCTGCAACCGTTGCGATGGATACCAAGGCATCGCTTCAAGTCCACGCATCCCAAAGAATCGAGCGACCGCCTTGGATATCGCGCACCACATTCAGCACGACGTCAATCATTCATTGGCTTGAGGTAGACATACCTCGACGCAGCCAGTGGATTAACTCATCACGACTTGCAAAACACCCGCGCTAGAGCATCGATGGCACAACACCTAATGGCTAGGAGGACTGCTCTTCTCGCTGTCACTCCCTAACCTACACTAGTTAGCAGCACCAGATATAGCAAACTTTCTGGACTGGGTATTGCTGGTCGATAACGTTTTTCAATATACCTCGCTATCACCACCGCGTGTAACAAGTTGCCCGCCAAACAAACGTCTTACTTCATAGTGAGTTACTTGCTTCATTGTTGTAAACAGAGCGCGTGCCCTGCTGCTTTTTCACTCTTCGTATGTGCTGAGCGCACATGCACAACATCGCTCTGCTCCTCTAACTGATCTCTATTGCTAACCTGAACCTGCATGCGTTAGCACTGCCAAGAAGGGGTTTTGCTAAGCTGAGGGAAGATGTGCGCAAAGGTCCGCGAGCAACTTGGCAGTGGTTTTATTGACTACATCAGTCCAGATCGCAAAACAACCCTTGTTCTACGTACCCTCTCACAAGATGCAACTGGCGACTGCAAGTCATGGTTATGGCGAGTAGCCTCCGCCACGATGGTGGCCATGTAGCGTCCATACGTGCTTCACAGTCCCATGAAGCGCTCATTCGAGCGACATTGGTCCCTGCTCTATCCTTGATGACGTACCGAGCAAGAGCGTGAGGGAACAATGTGTTGCTCTCTCATACGAATGAAAAGCCGATCGCTCTCTTCTGAATCTCATTAGCGCTGGACAAGCGCCAAATCATACGAAAGTGATCGTCGCCTCGTCGTTTGCTGCTGCTGCTGATGATGATGATGACCCGGCAACCGAACGGCTCTTTGTCAGCAATAGGCAGCAGCGCTACCAAGTTGAACAAGCGGCGATCGCGGAGGAGCTCTGTCGTCCACCGGCGTGTGGTTTATGCAAATGAGACTGCTGCAATTCGTTGTTTTCACATCAGCACTCGACTTTGAGGGGTGGGTGCTCCCCGTGCGTCGCTGTAACGCAGTCCCGGACACCGTCCTCAGCTGTCAAGCACCGGCTTCAGGCATTCCACTGTGCTCGCCTGTTCCCACGATAGGGCCAGCATACTGTATGCTCTCTGTCGTCAAGGGCGGCTGTCACAGCTCTGCTTTCACCCGTGCTTCCAGTCGAGAGGCACACAGTGTTCACGATGCTGTCACACGCGCCATGATAGTAATCCCCATCTCATCATCACTCGGCGTCTCCAGCTGCGTCCTCTCACGTCTGTCTCGAATAACGAACGTCGTCATGCGACAAGATAGAGACGAGAAGGACTTTTTGTGCAAGTGCCGCGGACCAGGGGAACGTCGTGGACGTGTCCAAAGTTGACCCCGTGCCGTCTATTTCCACGCTGTGGCGTCTTTGTGCCGGACCGGGCGAGCGATCGGTATGTTGAAATTCACGTTCGTGCGGACACGTAATACGCTGTGCACTTTGCGCGCTTGCACAGCCCCTTTTTGGTGGCCTGCAACACTGTATTACGGCACGCGGCAGGCGGAAGGGATGAGTAAACACTGCCCTAGCACAGTCTTTGTCGAGTCGGGCAGCGAATGGCCACTGCATGTACTTGCAACAGCGAGTCCCGGTACTGGTGTCGCGGTAGCACTTTTACGCGGCAATGCACAACGGTGAGAGGCGATAGATACGTCCCGAGAGAGGAATTGCCGTTGTGCTATGCGCCTCGGCGGAACTCAGACTTTCCGTTGTATGCACGAGGTAGGAACCCGTTGGCACTTGATTTCATGTTGTCGGATCGTAGTCGCTTTGTGCGTGACGCGAACGACGTCTGGAAGATCGACAGACGTACGTAGTGCACAGTGAGACAGGCAGACAGTGACGTAGCAGACTGAAAAAACTGGATGGTCATTACGTACCCTCGACATCAATACGAGGCCACTCTGGTCCGCGCGTCGGTCCACAAAATGGTTCGGGAAAGCCCATTGCCGACGACCCAGAGGCCAACCTGGTAGCAAATGTATTGGCACTGCGCAGTCTCGAACGTACAGGTCCAAGAAGGCTACACGCTGTGGTGAAGCTCGTTCGATTTGAGCCAAAGCGTACACCTCTTGCAACCTTGGGACACGCATACAACGTGCTGCAAGCTGCCGTAATATCTTGACCTACGACCGTCGCATGGCCAACCACTCGCGCTTCACCCGAAATCATGTGTTGGTTGACTACAGTGGTCAAAAGCTGCTTGTTTCCAGTTTGCATCAAACAGCTCGTTCATCGCCGCGCCATTTGGCTCATTTGAGATTTGAGCAAAGTCGAGCAGCACGAACGCTCGGCATGAAATCAAATCGCCACAACTTGAACTCTGCACGAAGGTCTCAGTATGGCAAAGAACGTTCGGAACGAGTTTTCGTGCCGCGCCGTCCGGGGCGACTACGGGAACAGCCCCAAATCCCACAACTGAATTCTCGTCATCACCACTGATCGATACGACGATGACGACCAGCAGACAAACCATTGACCGTATCATCCCCGCGCGATTCGGCAACACCGTGATCGGAACCGTCGTCACTCGCTCGGCAGCTTCCGGGTATCACGTCGAAGAGTTCAGCTGCTGCAACGCCTCAGCACAGTCTTCTTCACAGCAGCAGCAGGAGCAGGAGCAACACAATCATCAGTCCACTCGATTGACCACTGCAGCGCTGCCTTCATTGACGAGATTGTCGCTGCTAGCCGCTCCTACGACGAGTGCGGCCGAAACAGCCAACCGCTTCTTGTTAAGACCTCCACTAGCAAAACGTCAAAGTAGCGCGGTATTAGCTCAGGACTCTGTGGCGACTCCCGGCGATCAAATTCGCTTTGGTGTCCCGTACACAGAGACATCGACCGACAGCGGTTTACCTGCACGAATCGGACCACCTGCGACCACGAACTTGTCAACCCTTCATCAAAAGCCCACGACGTTCAGGATGCGCGGAGTGAGCGCCAAATCCAAAGCCTGTCGCGAGCAGGGCCGATCCAACCAAGCTCGGTACCGCCAAAAGCAGCGAGAATACGTGCTAAAGCTCGAGTTGACGGTCGCCAAACTACGCGCTGAGACGCCAATGCTGGAGATAGAGCGGCGTCGTCTTCACTACGGTTCAGCGCAACGCGTCTGGGACGTTGGATTCGAGTACTTTCGGCTCTTTCGCTACGGAGTCGGCGACTCGATTGTGCAGGGGTCTCCAGATGCTTGTGGCCTCCCGCGAGCTTCGGAAGCTCAGAAACAATTGATGTTCCTGCGATCGACCATGGCACCGGATGTTGCGTTTGGTAGCATGAGTGGGGTCGAGCACCTGATGGCGCACTGGCGGCGACTGTCAACGAATCACGATCATCTGCGCTTCCACCTCACGCACATGGACAAGCTGTCTGAGAGCATTGTCGTCGCTACGGCTGTACTGAGTGTGACAGTTACGAAATCCACGCTGGAGTGTGTCTTTTCCCATCTCTTGGAGTCTGACAACATCAAGGATTTGTCGCTGGCAGTGAATCTGCTCGGCCACCGATTACACTACCCATGCTCCGTGACCTTTGTGTGGGACGAAGAAAGTAGCTTGGTGGAGCGGGTGGAGACCGATATCGACGCAACGTCGCCGCTATTGGCATTTCTCGGCAACCTCGACGACACTTCCCGCGTAATCGAAAGAGCCGTCCTGGCTCCAAGCAGCCTTGTCGACGTGGCAAGAAGCCCGGCAGCATGACTACGAACTAGAAATACCAAAAAGTGTTTGTTAACCAGGCCCGTTTCTTGCCGTTAGCTCTCATTTGGTCGTAGCAAATGTCCCTCTTCTGTGCAAAGGCATGTCCTTCCTGTTGTTGCCAATCATTGCTGGTTTCCATGTCTCGGTCTCTCTTGACGACAATAGTCCAGCCGCGAGGCGCAGATCCACACAACTTGAGCTGGCGACAGCGAGAAAATACCGCACGCCTCCAGAATCGTCGAGTACTGTACAAAATCATCTCCACTTTCGCTTCCGAACGCAATCGACGCATCGTCGAGAGCCTTGCAAACATCACGTCGTCGTGCTGCAGGCATGTTCAAAAGGTTGCATACAGCCTGAGTGAGTCGGAAGTAGGACCGAGGCAGCGGTTTCGTCGATCCTGCTGCAAATATGGCTACGAGGGACTCAATGTCCTCCGTAAACTGACGCATCCCTGTACTGCTCAGTTGCGTAACCTCCACCGTCGAGACAGGATTGTAGAACGCATCGAACAAAGCACAATCTAGGGCCGACGCTAGAGACTCCCACAGAATGGACCGGCATTCGGGAAGAAGCAGCTTACGCGCGCAGGACAGCACGTTGCTGATGAGCGTGTAAGAGCACGCCAACTCGGAAGAGACAGTTTGCGTGCTGGACAGACGGTCTTTGTTTACGCCATCGCCCTCTGTGTCATTCCAAAAAGAGCTACAGGCATGATAGGGACGCACGCACAGCACACAAGCACAGACGAAATGGACATGTTAGACGACACACGAACGAACAAAGATCGATCAGCACCACCTTCGTACCTTGCGCGGTACATTTCCAAGTCACGCTCCGCTGTGTGCAGTAGTATGTCCTTGCCACCGTCCAGCAGCATCGTTATCACCGATGTGAGCTGCGAGATCTGCCGTTCAAAAATTGTATGCGAGAACAGAAGCGTCTCATCTTGCACTTCCTCCAACTCGTTTGCTGGACTGTCGTAGCTCGCTATTACTTGGCGGTCGCGGCAGTACCACCCGACAAGGCTTCACTCTCTCGTAACGCTTGACCATCATCTTCCTCAACGTTTGCATCAATCTCTGCACGGCGGAACAGGCTTTTCATTGTCTTGGATCCGACCGAATATGCCGCGGAGAAAGCAGCGGTGGGCCCGATCATAGCTCCTGGTCCAGCAAGCGCTTTGACGAACTGCTGTCGCTTCTTGAGTAGCAAGAACACTGGCTGTGGCGCGCGCAAAAACCTGCTTCGAGTAGGCTACGTGCATTCGAAGCACTTGAGCTCGCGTTGTTTCTGACCGCGCGACCTTCCTCGAAAGCTCCAGGAACACATTGCTCTGCTCCCATGCCGCCAACGCGTGCTTTACGCACTGCAATGCGTTAACCACTACAAACAGCTCCCCCCATATGTACAGGGTGTTCGCGTCCGTGGTCTTCTGGGTCAGGGCGCTCATCAATCGGCATCCGCGAGCCTCACAAAGCTGTCCAAATCGATGCAAAAGCGGGAGGTGCACCTGCATTACGTACAAGCAACGGTGCTCTTCCGCCTCCATGAGCGTGAATCGCTGGGATAGAAAATCGAGTAAAGCCACAAACTGATGCGCAACTGGAGGAACAAGCATTGTCTCCTCGTGCTCAGACACGGTACCATTCGCGCGTCTGTACACCTCCTCTTCCAAGCGCCAGACCGAATCTTGTTTTCCATGACAGGCGTCAAGCTCGAGCTCGCTACCAGAGGATTCGGCCTCAAAAACCAACGAAAGCACACGCTGTGCATACTCAACATCGACATTTGTCCAGGCGAATAGCACACCATTGTGCGACGTGAACACATCAATACAGCGCGGATATGCTCCACGATCTGTGCTGGCCCAGGAACCGTAGCCAATGTCTTCGTCGATGGCGTATTCGAAGAGGAGGACCTCGTCCAACGTATGGCACAGAAGTGGCGGATGCTGCATCGAACATAACGCATCTGTCGATCAGCAAATAAGCAACAGACAACGATCAAAGTATTCTTTTCTATCACCGTCAACAGCGTCGGCAAGTCGTGCGCAAGCTTTCGACTGGCAGCTCGAATGAGTCCGCGCAACATCAGAATCTGGGCATCCCAGCAGTGGATTTCGGTGCGGTAGCGATGCAGCTCTGGAGTGAGCACTTGTGCCAGGAACCGCGTGTGCACTCCGATTTGCTCCTGCATGTGGCTCAAATACCACTCGGGCTTCGCCAACTGATTAGTCAGACTCTCATTTCGTTCAAAGTGGTAGCGAAAACGCAGCAACAGCGGTTCCAGCACACAATCCATTGCCCACAGATCCGTCGTCGTTGGCGACGTAGACTCCTGACCAACTTGCAACGTCAACAAGAACGCAAACGTATTCGACACGTTTCGCAGCTCAGCTTCCTACCAGCAAAACAGCAGCAGCATTGAATGGAGGCCATCGTCAACACACACACCGTCACCACTCCCCCTCACAAGATTCCTCATCGTCTCATCTTTACCTTGTCCTTCAGCTCGTCCGGAGTCGCCAATGGTTCGGGCCACTTGATCATGTCCAAAGCCATTTTGAGCTTATCCATAGCAAAACGACGAAGACTCAGCGACAGCTCGTCCACTCGACAAAGTGCTTTTCTCTATCATTCCACATAGGCAGCAGATGAACAACCACAACAACAACAGCAGCAGCAGCAGCAGCAGCAAAATAGTATAAGAGAGAAAACATGCAAACAGCAGCACCGCAACAACAACAATAAGAAACAATAATGGACGAAGCAGGCGACAGCAATCGAAACAATGGAACCAGCAGAAGAGGCAGCAAACACGCATCAAAACACGGCCAACCACACCGACAACAATCGACGCACGACAGTGAGCTACTTGCACCACGAGAGACCAACTTGTCAAACGAACCCATTGACACGCACTCGAAGTGCGGGAAACTCCAGTGGAACGGCCGCCACAAGATCGGCAAAGCGCTGGAAATCCGCCAGCGCCTCCGGCGTCCCGTGAACGGCGTTGGCTTCAACTTGTTGGCTCAATGCCTCGATCTGCACGGCCGTCTTTAGATATGTGGCTCGGCTCTGGAGCGTCTCGAGCGTGTCAACACGTGGCTGGATGATGCTCTTCAACTGTAGGAAATGTTGCTCGATGGCGCAAAGTCGGGGTTGCACTGCCTTGAGATCGGTGCAAATCGCTAAAACGTCGTCATGCTCTCCAAGTGTACAGATACCGGCAGGGGACTCAAGCGATTCCAGCGCCGCCGTCAGCTCCGTGAGCTCCGCGTTCGCGCGCAGACGCAGTGCTGCAAGTCCTGAAGAGATCGTCGGCCAGTCGGTGTCGTGATCGGGTGCGTCGGCGGGCAGCAGCGCTGAGCTGAGCGTCGATAATGGGGCTCCGGGCATTGCGTTGATTTTACGCGACAGAATGACGCGATGAAAGGGCACAAAAATGAGGTTGAAGGGAATTGTGTCGGGCCGTCCGATAAAAAAGGGTCAGTCGGTCAGTCGGTCGGTCGGTCGGTCGGTCGTGAAAAAGACGACACCTTGGACAAATGTGTATCATTTTTTGGTCCTCCAGTTTTTGGTGCGGGGTGCGCCGTGGGTGCAAAGTAAGAGCTCGTCCTACTGTCCCACGAATGCACTTATTGGTGATCCAGTGCGCAGAAGGACACGTCCAACTGCAAGGACAGGACGACCGATTCGTCGACCGGCCTTCACTACCCGTGGCCCATGTGACATCAGCTGCTGTGCTCGATTCGCACCAAACCGCTATTATGTACAGGCATCTCGTTGCACGCTCGAAAATGATCGTGCACGCCGTCTGTTTCCTCAACTCGAGGGCCTTCTTTTGATGGTTGTGCCTCGACAGCAAAGACAGAGGTCGTTGATGACAGGCAATGTATTGATACGACACCAACGCCCGTACATTCAGGTGCCTTCGTGAGGAGGAGGGGGGGACTGAGGTTTGAGATCACTTGAGCCTGACTGCAAACCCTTTCGACTGCTGAGATTCGATGAGCTACTGCAAAAGAACCACCTGCAAAAGTCCTACCGAGCACGTGTGTATCCACGTTCTCGAACGCAAGCTGCGCTGTCTGCCGTCCGTCGGCATGTCTGCTTGTGAGTGGCAGACTCGAGCAGATGTAACGATCGTCTCGATCGTCGCTGTCCCACTCCTGTGCATGACTGAGTGACTGAGACCCATCGGTGTCAAGTGCACCGTATCGTTGTCCACTCGGTCCATGTTCATGTGCCTATTCTACACGCAAGAAAGAACACGACACTCGAAGTTGGCGACGCAATAGGAGAGTCTGTTGCTGCCACAAGTTGACTCGCGCGTGCATCGACCTGCACTGCAATACAAGTAGTTTGTTTTTTCCGCGGGAGATTGGAGGAGCACAGGGGTTGCCTAGTAGAGAGAACTCATATTCGACGACGCCATGAAGGGAATGGACCCGTACATGGCTTTTGAAAAGCTGGACAGCACGCAAAGTATGTGCGAACTCAACATGTCAGCCACAAGAGCTTACCCCCTGACGCTGTTGTTTTGCTCCGTCAATCACGACGCCAAGAAACCAGTGGGTCGCTGCGGCCTACAACAGCCAACGTCGACCACCGTCCGACTGCTGCTGCTGCAACGGCATCTTGAAACGTGCAGTGAGGTGCACTAGAGGCGGTCGAAGTGCCACGTTAAGCTATCGCGCATGCCGAGGGTATACATCGTTTTATCCTCTCGCGCGAACCCACGAAGCTCAAGATTTTGCTCCTCTATGGCCGCACGCAGTGACTGCTCGAAAGGGCCAGAGACAGTCGAGGCACTGGACAGTCGATCGCTGAAGCTCACCCTGTGGTGCTGCTGCTGCTGCTTTGTGCGAGCAGCTCGCAACGACGGATCCATCAATCATGACACCAATTGGTCACACGGCTTTGTCGAGGACGTACCGGCGGCCATCGTTTCGAAACGGCGCAGTCTTTCGATCCTGCAGTGCGGACGGCACATTGTCTCGATACAAAACGGCGGACGACCGATCTGTGTCACTCCGACGCACTCTGCGTGTTCACACAGTACTACTTTCTACCGCCGCCGACGATATGATGAGCTGCTGAGCGCAGATCGATATGCGTCCGACCACAAACAGCTCCTCTTGTCCTGCCCCGCACTGCATAAATATCTTGTTCTCTATTATTTGCACTGCACGACGTATACGTATCACGTCTCTAGCTCGCCCACCCACATCGATTCCTAGATAGTCCAGACCCACCCACCACTTGCCCACTCCACGTACCCACAACAACTACGCAGACGGCGCTGCTGCCTGTGACCCATTGACGTGACGCAATGCCATGTGACGAGCCACTTGGTCAGCACTCCGTCGAAATTGCGGCTCGATTTGCAGCATACAGGACAGCAAGTCGACAGCAGGTCCCGAAATGAGCTTCTGGAAGCCCCAGAGCTGCAGGATCTTGGCCACGCCGTACTTCTGGAGCACCCGCAACGTCGGCGCACAGCGTCTGTCGTCCGCAAAGAGCGGGGACCCCGTCAAGAGGATGAAGAGGAGCACGCCGAGTGACCAGATATCGGCCTTCTTCGGGTCGTACGTCCCCCCCTGAGTCAGCTCGGGAGCCATGTAGTAGAACTTGCCCACGACATCGGCCGACCGTTTGTTCGCGTCGGTGCTCAGGCCAAAGTCACAGATCTTCACGTGGCCGTCTTTCAGCAGCACGTTCTCGAGCGACAGGTCCCGATGGGCCACGCCATGTGCATGAAGAAACGCCAGTCCCCTGGCGACTTGCGAAAACAGGTCGAGCGCCACTGTCTCCGAGACGCGACGGTCGGGTTTCGTCGTCACGTACTCGTACAGGTCGCCGTCGCCACAGAACTCCATCGCAATGAAAACGCTGTCCCCCGACGCGAAAAAGCCCTCGCGAGCGTACTCGACGACGAACTCCCGACCAGGGGCACGTTTTGTCACGGGGTTTTCCAGCAGCTGCACGACGAGACGCTCGCTCAGGGGATTGTCCCGCACGACGCGTTCCTGACTCGGCTGCTGCTGCTGCTGTTGCTGCAACGTCGAGACGCCCACGCGCTTGAGCACCACGAGCTGTTTCTCCAGTGCCTCGTCCTGGTACAATGCCGTCTCGCCATACAGAGTGGACGACAGTTTCTTGCGCAAAGTGTAGCGGGGCGAGACGTCCGTGGAGGAGGACACGTCCGTGACGACGCACGTTGCGTGCATAGTGTTTCAAAACGAGCGAGAACGACAGACTGACGATGAAAGGGAAGCGATCTCCTCGTTCCTGTCGAGCGCAACCCGACCAGCGATGGGTATGTATGTCTCTATGTTTGTATGTCAATATGTATGTCTGGACGCGGCGCTGGAATTCGAAAGACACGACACGGAACTCGGGACGAGAGAGCACAATGGCAAGTGAGCACGTCGGGACAACCGGCACGCACAGGCGCGTTCTTGTCTCTTTTTGTGCGTATATAGGAGCGCCGCAGCACATAAGCCATTTTGTCGCCAAAGCGCAGAACGCACCAAAAGTAGTACTTGTAACGGCTACTACAAATACTACGACAAACGCTGCTACTACTACTGCTACTACAACGACTCGTACTACTGCTACTACAACGACTCGTACTACTGCTACTGCTGCTGCTGCTGGTTTTCCGTCCTCTGCTTTTGCATCTTCGGACACTGCGGCCGTAGTAGACACGTGCGGGCGGCGCTCGTTCGTGCGACACGTCGGGACGAAACGGCCAGCGACGGCGTTTCCCTATTCGCTGCAGCCTGAAAATCTGGGCCGGGGAGCATGCGATTTGAACGGCCGTCGGCTTGGCGGGCGACCAAGTGGGTCGTCTGCCCGCCCCACGCTGTCCGATCGCGACGGCCAGTCTGGTGGTCCGCGCTGGAGCTGAGACAACCGACACGTTCGGAAGAGCACTGGTGGGGCTCTGTCGGTCGAAACGCGTGGGTTGTGTTTGTGGGGTTTGTTTGTGGTCCGTTCGGCGGAGAGGCGACGGATAGTAATCATCGCGCGATGACGTCGGCTCGCTGGCCGGGCGAAGAGCGGCCACGCTGCGCTCTGTTCCTCGCGCGCTTCTTATTCCACGTCCGTCAGTCTATCCCGCTATCTATCGATCTATCTATCTGTCGATCGATCTATCGTTGTGTCTATCTGCCTATCTATCTATCGATCTCTGTCTATCAATTTCTGTCTGTCTGCGACTCTGTCGCACACGAAGGGTCTAATGCGATCGCATGACAATCGTCAGCACGTGGTGCTCGACGTTGCAGCACTTGCAGGCGCGACTCGTCGCACTCGTCGTATTCTGTGCGTACCTTTGTGTGTTTGTTCATTTGTTCATTTGTTTGTGCTGCTGACTTCATGGCGTTCTTCGGAACTTGCGCTCCTCCGGCACCGCTTCCCTCCCCCGATACCAATGGAGGCAAAAGGCCACTCTGTGTTGGTGTATCGTCGTAGAGTCAGTGTGCCGGGTCTCGCTTGACCCGATGCTGCACACGGTAGCGACGTCCTCGTGGCATCAAGTGGCCCACACGTCGCCTTCGTTCGACCGCCGCTACCTTGAGGCTATTTAGTCCGTGTGTGGACCGCGCCTCGTGCTAGATCGATTTCCCGGACAGCCAGACAGGCGTCATTGGGCTTGCGCAACGTGCGATGCGAAGTCCCAGTCGCGAGCACGTACTGTAGAGGGACTGAGACGCCGGTCCTGCGTCGCGCGCTCGTCTCATTCGTACCGTAACGTCTTTTGAGCTGCAATACAGACGACACAATGGCTCGATCGTCGACGGCGCACTTCGACCAAGACGAAAGCAGCGGACGATGGTACGTGCGCACGCGTCGCAATACGTTCAGAGTGAACCGAGTGCCGGCCATGAAGTTGGCAGCGACAAAGTATTGCTAAGATGTCCAGAGGGCGACAATGCGTTCATGATATGGTGCACATATATATATGTATTCTACAACAACGTAGTTAGCGAAGCCTTTGAGTTGTATACGGAGCTCGTGTTCATGGAATGGGAAGAGGTCGTGGAGTGCGGTAAGTCGCGGACTGAGCCGTGTCATATGATGTAGCGATCCCTTACGGGTACCGCCACTTTGACCACTCGTTCGCACGGCCAGTGGCGTCGACAAGTCCCACGTCCATTCTACGCGCGGTCAGCGCTACAATAAAGCAGTACGCGTGCCGTCCTCTGTACAATCGCGACATGTTGTTGTTGAAGGTGAGGTATATTGAGGAGCGTGATCGACCAACAATGCCCGTGCCAGAGAGAGTTGACTATCCGGAGTTGCTATCTATGGTGAATGAGGGCGCCACTGCGCGAAGAGCAGTTCTCCTGGCCATCATTTGTTGGGCTGGCAATGCCCGCTCGCGGACA